AGAAGACTTTCCAATCAACCATCATGCTCATTTGGTGTCTTTTTTTTTTTCAATCTCTTAGCTCCTCCTACAATCTCCCAGGCACCTGAAACCATTTCTCGCACCAGGGCCAGCACCGCTAGGTTTGTCTGCAAAGCAGAAGGAGAGCCGTTGCCCACCCTACACTGGACGAGGAACGGAAAGCGGCTCCTGTCTAAAGGACGGGTTAAAATCCAGGGCAGCGGTACCCTCGTGATCAACCAGATCGGCTTGCACGACGCTGGCTATTACCAGTGCGTGGCTGAAAATCACCTCGGCATGGCCTGTGCTACGGCCAGGCTAGAGGTGATCGTGCGGGAAGGCCTTCCCAGCGCTCCGAAGAGGGTAACGGCAAGTTCTCTCTCCAGCACCACGGTCTTGGTATCCTGGGAACGGCCGGAGTTCAACAGTGAGCAGATTATTGGATTCTCTCTTCATTACCAAAAAGCCTTGGGTGCGTTTCTGGTATCCTAAAGATATGCTCTTTGGGCTAATCCTAATGCAAGAAATTAGGGGAGCATTAGATTTGTCTAATAGGAGTGGTGCAGTGACCTAGAGGTGAAGCTCTTGCCTCACAATCAGGAGGTTGAGAGTTTGATGCTAAGTAGAAACAGATATTTCTCTTTCTGGGCACAATGAGAATATACTTGATGGGAAAAAAAACCTCTGCATTGGGAACAGGAAGGGCATCCGGCCAGTAAACACTCTGCCAGCTCCATTCAGTTGCCCAGACTCCAACCCTCAAGGGTTTATGGGGGCATATGATGATGGTGATGGTGATGGTGATGGTGATGATTAGATTTGTATAATAACCTTGTTTGACAAGAAGGAACAGATGGAAACTAATCAAGGAGAGAGCTAACCTAGAACGAAGGAGAAACATCATTGGCAGGGAGAATAATTAACTAGTGGCTCCTCTGCTGGCTTGCAGAAGTTGTGGGGGCTCCATCATGGGAGGTTTTCCAATCTCTTTGGAAAACCATTTGTTTGGAATGGTGCAGGGTCTCCTGCTTGAGCAGGGGGCTTTTACTGTCTCATGCACAGAGGTGGATTTGTAGCTGTGCAGATGCAGATAGATAAATGTTTCCACAAAACATCCATAACAAAGTGCTGTACATTTATTGGTACATCAGGTATCTTCCTAACTCACATTTGTGATGAAGTTCTTCTATAATGACCAGTCCTTTGTATGTCAGCCTTGCAGGTGAAAGATGGTTATCTCCTAACCCATCTCGTAGTGGTAGAAAAGCTGCTATCAGTTCATGAGTCCAGGCAAGAATGGAGGGAAACCTCCCCCAACCCCTCGAGGGTCAATTCAGTGGCCAATCAGGATTACAGACGTGGCCACGTGACGTGAACTACATTTCCCAGGATACCTTTGACTACATTTACCATGATGCATTCCCTTAAGGGGACAGCTCATAATTCCTAAGTAACTATCCAATTCCCATAGACTGTCTGGGACAGCACAGGGCTGGACTAGAAGACCTCCAAGGTCCCTTCCAATTCTGTTATTCCGTATTCTACGTAATGATAACTGTTATATAAAAGAGCTACAAGCCCCCCAGACTGGAGAGAGAAATGGAGAGTGAAGGTTTACAATTAAAAAGTCAATACAAGCAAACTGTGTCAGCAGGGGGGTTAGACTAGAAGACCTCCAAGGTCCCCTCCAACTCTATTATTCTGTTATCAGAATGAGCTTCTCAGATCAGTTGACCTTGTGGACTTGCTGTATCTGGTTGGCAGTTGGGAAAACTGAACATTGGACCATATTTTGGCTTAGGCCGATGCAGCTTCGGGGTTATTCTCCAGGCCCCCTTCTGAATGATGACATTTAGTCAGTATTTATGAGTTCCACAGTATTTACTAAGCTTCTTCGCTAGGGAGGATGCCTTAGAAATGTAGTCTTCAAAGTCATTACTGTGGGTCTTCTGTGTTTAAGCACAGAAGAAGATCCAGGACTTGAAGCACTTAGCTGATTGTTAATTGAATGGATTGATTGGGTGTTGGTGGTGAACAGCTTTTAACGCACTTATTCATCCCAAGTAGAGAGTAACTTTTAATCAAAGAAGGAGCAGCTTGTAAGGGACAGGGCTGAGAAGTTACGGATCTTTTGAAGGATTTGTGCGAGGGTGATAAAACATGGCAAGCAAAGCAGTTTGCTTCACAGTGGCCTCTTGTATCCATTTTCAATTCAGTGGTGGGATTAAACATTTTTTACTACCGGTTCTGTGGGCGTGGCAGGGAAGGATACTGCAAAATCCCCATTCCCCCCCCCACCCCCACCCCACTAACCTGCTTTCCAGCTCCGTTCTCCTGTGCAGGGCAACCAAAGGAGACCCATTTGATCAGCTGGGACTCGGGAGGCAGAGAAGAGATGGCGGAGGGGCCAGTCAGAGGTGGGATTGGCCAGTTCTCCGAACTACTCAAAATTTCCACTACCGGTTCTCCAGAACTGGTCAGAACCTGCTAAATACCACTTCTGATTTCTTAGCTTTTCCCCTCTTCTGTAATACAGATTGAAATCCTGCTCCATTCCTGGCATAGAGACCTCTCTAAGCAGGAGAGCTTTAAAAGGTTTTCTCAACATAACTCCTAGAGACCTTTGCAGAAGGAATGGGATTTCAAAAAAGGTCAAAGGAGAGAGTTAGATATAGTCAAGATGAACGCCCAACAGTTTTTTTCCCTACACGATACCTCTTCTTAAATAATTGGGGCTTCAGTTGCAGAGTAGTGGCTACCATCCTGACATTTTTAACTCCCTTCCATTAAAAAAAAAAACAAAGAAACCCCCAGGATTAAAATTGTGCAGCCCTCTTTTTTGTAAGTATCTCACAAAAGCAACTCGTTTAAAGAAAGAACAAAACTTTCTTCTTCTTCTTTTTTCCCTGTCTGACAGTGTTGTGTACCTTCTCTAGGTGCTGATAACATGGAATACCAGTTTGCAGTGAATAACGACACCACTGAGTTTTCGGTGAAAGACTTGGAACCCAACACCAACTATATCTTCTACGTGGTAGCCTATTCCCAGCTTGGAGCTAGCCGGACCTCCTCATCCATAAATGTTCAGACCCTGGAAGATGGTTTGTAGAATAGAAACTGAGAAGATCTGACCTGGGGGGTGGGAGGAGTCACCTGAAACTGGAGGTGTCAATAATCCAGGATTTACCTGGTCAGGATGTGGCAGGTTTCCAGGAGTGCCCACCTAGGCTGAAATGGGTCTAGGTGATTTGTGCTTGGGAAAAATGAGCAAATTATTTATTTATTAGACTTTATTTGCCACCCATCTCGGCCACAGGCAACTCGGGGCGGCTTATAAACGTTCAAAACCAAAGTCCCAAAGTTGCTTTTTCAAAAGGCAACTGGACTTTGTTTTATCTTGAAGAAGCTTCTTCAGTTCTGACCGAATGGCGGGAGGATGGAAAGATTGATATTGACTGAAAGAAATGTAAAACCTTCCATCCTCCACCATCCAGTCAGAACTGAAGAAGCTTCTTGGATAAGAAGCGAAATGTCTTCAAGGAAAAACAAAGAAAATCCAGTTGCCTTTTGGGACAGCCATGACCTGGAAGGCTGAGAATCTCCAAAGACAATAGCCCAAAGCTGGACTTTCTTGGGTTTTTTTCCCTTTTAAAAACGTTTCTCATCTCATCTGAAGTTTTGCTGTGTTACACCACCTTTAGAGTGTGCTTGTCAAGTGACTTGAATGGTTTGGCTCCTATTTGGGTTTCCAACTAAATGAGATGAATTTGGAGATTATTTTTGTAAATCTGAGACGTGTCTTAAGAGTTGACAGTTGGACACGGAACAAGTTAAAAGGCAAATAAAGAGACAATTGATAGTACAGTTCATAATTAGCCTTAGAAATCCTTGATATGTTTGTGTGTGAGAAGAGGACATATGTCAGATATGCATTTCCTGTAATTATTACATCTCTTTGTACACAGATAATCATAAATCAGGAACATAGTCCCAGTTGGTTGGAATTCTAGGACTCAGCACCTTTTTCTTGAAAAATAGTTTATCATCTTAATTGTGTACTCTGAAAATAAATGCAATGTATTTTATCCTCTCCAAAAATGAAATGTATTTGGGGAATGGACATGATAGAGTTGTGTCATCTAACTAATGCAGGCAAAGAAACTACCCAGAATTCTTTAATATCCCAGAGAAATTAGGCTAACCAGGGAACGTATCCCTGGATGGACACAGCCCTCCAAGTTGAAATATATCATCTCAAGCAGAATTGCTGTAATTCTGAGATGGTCCTTTTGAGGTGACGTGATTTCTTTTATTGCTCGTTTCCAGTTCCTGGTGGAGCCCCTCAGATTTCCCTGTCCAGTACAACTCCGACTGACATCAAGGCAACATGGCTGCCTCTCCCTTCAGAACTGAGCAATGGAAAGATCATCAAGTACAAAATTGAGTATGCTTCTCTCAAGGAAGGTGAGAAAGAGAAGGTCTGAGGGCCTTACAATGCGGAATGGTTGGTTATTGACACTCTAGAACACTCCAACGTTGGAAACTTTAAGACTTGTGGACTTCAAGTCCCAGAGTTCCCCAGCCAACTCTGCTGAAGCCCACAAGTCTTAAAGTTGTAGTTTGGAGACCCCTTCTGTGGAAAATTGTTTCCTTGGGGTTCCTCAAGACACCTCAAGATCCCCCTCAGGGGCCTGTGGCATCAAAATTATTTGCCATTCTATGTCATTCATTTAATGTGATAAATAGTGATGAGTATAACCCTTAGAAACAACATTATGGAATCTTACCTAATTTTTAAAAGTGGGAAGGGAAGAAGAAAGTTTAAGAAATGCTGCTCTGGAACCCCTTCTTCCTGGTGTCCACAATTTTTAAAAAAGTCAATGGGATGAAAGAAGTCAATGGGGCAATCACAACGGTGTGAGCAAATTTCATACGTTTGTAGCTTCAGTATCACCATCATAGCTGCCATCTTCACCCTAAATCCATGAAGACTGGGTTAAGGTAGGATGGATTCTATCTAGGATGGATCCCTTCTAGCAGTATTCCAGTATTTGAGGAGCTCCCCTCAATAAAGAGGAGGTCAACTTATTTTCCAAAGTACTAAAAGGCAAGAGGGAAACTGATCAAGGAGAGAAGCAGCCTGGAATTAAGGAAAAACTTCCTAACAGTGAAGACAGTGGAACAGCTTGCCACCAGAAGTTGTGGGTGCTTCATCACTGGAGGTTCTTAAGAAGAGACTGGGTATAGGGTCTCCTGTTTGAGCTGGGCTAGATGACTTTCAAGGTCCCTTCCAGCTCTATTCTGAGTGAAATTGATTAGGGTGATTGGGGATTGAAGACTGAGTAGATTCCAGAGAGTTGGGATGTCAACATTCAGGTGTGCCTCACTTGAAGCTTCTTTATGTCTGAGGTTGTATTTTAGTGATAAATCTATCCCTTGCCTTAAGATGGAGCGTGGATAGCCCAACTTATGGGATCATGGCCCACTATCAGACCATGGCCTATGCTCAACAGGGCCGCTTGAATGCATCTGTGCACACAGCCCCATTTGTGCAAGGTCATAGGTGTTCATGGCCCCACGCGCACAAGCAACAGGTGCTTGCATGCATGCACATGCCTGCCCCTCCTGGAAAACCATTCCTTCTTTCCCCCTCCTCCCCTCCAGGCTGCCAACCCAGAAAGGCTGGGGAACTCTGGTTTAGACAGATGAAGTGGAAGGATTCAAGGTTCAATCTATTTGATACGCCCTTTTTTTGGTTGTTGTTACGTCAATAATCCTTGGGCTCTTTTTTCTCTCCCTTCCCAGACCTGATTTCATCAACGGAGCTCAGTGGAAATGAAACCCAGCTGGTGCTTTACGGATTACAGCCAAACAAAATCTACAAAGTTCGGATCGCGGCAAGCACCAGTGTGGGCTATGGAGCTCCATCCGAATGGACTCAGCACCGCACTCCAGATCGGGACAACCAAACCCATGGTGAGCAGTCTCTTGTTTTATCTCAGAACCCTTCCAAGTTTGACCCAGCAGCATAAACAGAAATAAGAGGTGGACCTGGCTCTCAAGATGTCTGCAGGGTTGGAAGCAAAGGTAGCAATTTGGACCAGATCAGTGACTCGGTTAAGAGAACAATGTTTTTAGTAGAAGAGGGGGAAAGAATTTAAGCAACGGAAGGAGAAAATTAGCTTATTCAGCTGGTGGGTTCCAAGGACATCCACAGAGGTCATCTTCAATGTCAAAACAGGCACATTCCAGGTCATCAAAGGCCACCTTTTAATGTTCATCACACACTACTCAACCATATCTGCCATTTTGACGCCACTGATGGTCCCTACGGAGGCCTCCAGTGTGGTCTACAGGTAGTCCTTGACTTACGATCACAGTTGAGCCCAAAATTGTTAAGTGAAACATTTGTTAAGCGGGTTTTGCCCCATTTTATTACCTTTCTTGCCACCGTTGTTAGGTGAATCACTGAAGTTGATAAGTTAGTAACCCGGTTGTTAAGCAAATCCAGCATCCCACCAATGGTGCTTCCCAGAAGATCACCAAAGGGGAATCACGTGACCTTGAGATCCTGCAACCATCATGAATCAGCTGCCAAGTACCTGAATTTTGATCACGTGACCATGGAGATGCTGCAAAGGTCATAACTGTGAAAAATGGTCGTAACTCCCTTTTTTTCAGGGCCATTGTAACTTTGAACAGTCACTAAATGAACTGTGGACTACCTGTACTATAATTCAGATTGATTTATAGCTAGAGGCAAATTTGAGAAGGAAAGGATGATGAAAAGTTATGGAGGATGCAGATGAATTTGAGACTGTCAACTCATAAAACATTCCTATGCCTGTTTTTGAGTTGCCATAAACGAGGTGGGGGGGGGAGGAATCTGAAGGAGCATGATGGCAGTTTAACTCCAGAAGTACATTCCACCCTTATCTACAAAGATTGTAGCTAGGCTACCAGATCTTCTGGCCGCAAAATCCTTTATTGGAGAAAGTGATTGATGACATCCAGCCCATGAATGTGCTTCATTGGAGAATCTGATTTATGATGCACCTAGGGGGGAAGGGGAAAATAGGGTCATAGGTTAATTATGTATGCCAGAGTTGGCTTCATTTAGGTTAATGCCAACATGTCACTCTTCATAAATGTTTTGAATTTTTTTTGAAGCTTGGCTCGAGGCTCATGATTTAATTAGGGCAATCGCCGGAATCCTGACACTAACCTGGTCAGTTGGGCAGCAGTGTCTCTGTCAGTATATTCATGAACTGGAATAGAGCTTGGTAACAAGGGCAGCCAATGAATAGGCATAGCAACTAAATCAGCCAATGGGGATAGTTTGGAAACTGAGACTAGAAGTAGCCTAGGCTGGAAACTGAAACTAAAAGTAGCTTAGGCATGGCTCTGTATTAAGCTCTGCAACTCTGCAGCTATGTGTTGAGCTCTGAGTGTCTATTGAGATGAAACTGCTTCTCTCCTCTTGCTTGCCTGCTGATCTACTGAAGATGAAACTAACCTGCTTGCTTGCTGAAGACTGGAGCTTTGCTCTGAACTTGCAGCACGTTTCCGTCTGAGTTTGCTCCACGTTGGAGAAATCTCAACTGGTTGTAAAATCTACTTATGTTTATAAAGATGTTAAATGAAGCATCAGCTATCTGTGTTTATTTTTCTGGCACTGAATTATCGCTACAAAACTCTCAATAGTCTCATGACTTTGATCTCCCTTTTTCCTAGTTCCCTTTGCCCCAGCTGAGTTAATGGTCCAATCCAAAATGGACTCGCTGTTGATCAGCTGGCAGCCTCCCCCCAACCACGGACAGATTTCAGGCTACAAGCTGTATTACCGAGAAATACTCACAGAGGAGTCAAGCATGGTGATCCCTTCGGAAGGCCCAGGGAACCGACTTTGGGATGTCAGACCCATAAAACTGAAGAAGAAGGTGAAGCAACACGAACTGAGGCAATTAGGTAAGCTTTCTGGAAGAGTGTTCTACTAGGGTGGGCGGGTCATTTGCTGAATAGGGATCAAAAAGAATTGGTGATTTTCAGATTGATCTGTTTCGGTCTGTTTATGGGGAGAAGAGATCCATGCAACGTACAAATAGTCCTTGACTTAACAATCACAATTGAGCTCAAAATGTATGTTGCTGAGTGAGAAATGTGTTAACCGAGTTTTGCTCCATTATACGGCTTTTCTTGCCACATCCAAAATTGCCTTTTGGAACAATTCAGAATAAAGCTGGAAGGGATCTTGGAGGTCTTCTAGTCCAACCCCCTGCTCAAGCAGGAGACCTGCCTAGACCATTTCAGATAGGTGGATGTCCAGTCTTTTCTTTAAAAAAAACCTCCAGTGATGAAGCACCCACAACTTCTGAAGGAAGGCAAAGCTGTTCCACTGGTGGATTGTCCTCACTGTTAGGAAGTTCCTCCTTAATTCCAGGTTGCTTCTCTCCTTGGTTAGTTTCCATCCATTATTTCTTGTCCTGCCTTCTGGGATTTTGGAAAATAAGTTGACCCCCCTCTTCTTTGTGGCAGCCCCTCAAATACTGGAATATTGCTATCATGACCCTGCTAGTCCTTTTTTACTCTAGACTTTGTTGTTGTTAGTTGCAAAGTCATGTCCAACCCATCGCAACCCCATGGACAATGTTCCTCCAGGCCTTCCTGTCCTCTACCATCTTCTGGAATCCATTTAAGTTCACACCTCCAGACCCAAATCCTACAACCGTTCTTCATATGCTTTAATCTAACAGGACTTTAATCATTCTAGTTGCTCTTCTCTACCATTTGAATGAATAAATAAGTAAGTAAATAAATAAGTAAATAAATAAATGCATACATTCTAGTTGCTCTTCTCTGTGCTTTGTCCAAATAAATAAGTAAATAAACAAACAAACAAATTCTAGTTGCTCTTCTCTGCACTTTGTCGAAATAAAATAAAATAAAATAAAATAAAATAAAATAAAATAAAATAAAATAAAATAA